GGAAAGAAATATTCCCCCTTCCCCCCCCCCCCCCCCCGCCTTCCTCTTTTTTCTGGAGTAACTCCGCCTCTCCTAATATGACATCCCCACCTCCCTACTCTCCTCCTATCATCTCCTTTCCTCTGCAACCCGACTTCCACTACCAGGCGAATTCAGTTGTACAAAAATTCCTATTTGCCCGAAGTTGAAAGGATATATAAAAAAATGCGACAGTGAGAAACGTGAAATTGGATTTTGATTATTTTTTGTTGTAGTGCTAATTGTGTTTAAATTGGCTTAGTGAGTAAAGCTTCATTAAAATGTGTACCAAGTGCTTGATTCATATTTTCCCGAATCATGATAGTAAGCTTGTGATTCTACGACCTCCATCAAATGTAAAAAAGAGTAGGAAAGTGGGGAAGCTATTTGGTAGGAGTAATTGCGAAAGTCAAGCAGACGCTCTTGTTGATAATTTATATCGATATAAATAGGGTTTAGTTAAAGCCCAAGCTATTGTAATTGGACAACTACCTTATTAGCGAAAGGGATTTTAAAATTCATAATAGGCCCCCCCCCCCTCCCTCCGTCAGATGCCAATAAAATAGCAAGCCTATGCCAGTACGTCTTGGGTTATGATAAATTTTAACTGCCAAAAATAGAAGGCCTCTGATTCCCTTTCAACCCATCAAAGAACATCAATTGCGTGTCTGACCAATAGCGAAACGCGATAATCCGAACAGCAGTAACTACGTTGGATGTTGCAGAGGAATAATATCATTCCTGAATAGAATAAATATTACACAATAATTGATCATACTAAGTATCCCATATACGATGGAACATATTTGAGAACATTAGCGAAATGTGATATAAATTTAATAGGAAAAGGTAAATTAATAGCATCGGGGAATAAACCTATTTCACAAACACAGGAAAACAGCAATATTTAGGATATGTGAGATTATAAAAGACCAGTAGTGTGGCGTTATTTCCTTGAATGGGCAGTGATAGTCGCTATTCGCACCAACTCATTGCCTCAATAATGATTAAGTTAATTGAGTTGAATTTCAAAATCCTATTATTGTATGCATAATTTCATAATAGCACAGTTCCTAAGAGAGGTGTTGTAGATTTTNGCCCTTTAGTTCACTTCAGACTTTACAGAGGAGAAGGAACATCAAATTGAAAAAAGACGAGAGAAGAGGAACAGAAGGGCGTTTCAAAGATGTAAGAGACAAACACAAAGGTAGAACAAAAATGAGGTGAATACTGTGGAAATAGTCGAATATGGCATAAAGATGTGAGGTGATTATTGTGGAAGTAGTTGAATATGACATACAACAAAAGAGTGTTTAAAAGATGTAAAAGAGACAGACACAAAGGTAGAAAAAAGGTAGTGAGTACTGTGAAAATAGTCAAATATGGCATAGAGTGAAGAAGAGTACTGTTGAAATAGTCGATATGGCATAGAGTGAGGTGGTGGTAGTTTNCCCTCCCTCCGTCAGATGCCAATAAAATAGCAAGCCTATGCCAGTACGTCTTGGGTTATGATAAATTTTAACTGCCAAAAATAGAAGGCCTCTGATTCCCTTTCAACCCATCAAAGAACATCAATTGCGTGTCTGACCAATAGCGAAACGCGATAATCCGAACAGCAGTAACTACGTTGGATGTTGCAGAGGAATAATATCATTCCTGAATAGAATAAATATTACACAATAATTGATCATACTAAGTATCCCATATACGATGGAACATATTTGAGAACATTAGCGAAATGTGATATAAATTTAATAGGAAAAGGTAAATTAATAGCATCGGGGAATAAACCTATTTCACAAACACAGGAAAACAGCAATATTTAGGATATGTGAGATTATAAAAGACCAGTAGTGTGGCGTTATTTCCTTGAATGGGCAGTGATAGTCGCTATTCGCACCAACTCATTGCCTCAATAATGATTAAGTTAATTGAGTTGAATTTCAAAATCCTATTATTGTATGCATAATTTCATAATAGCACAGTTCCTAAGAGAGGTGTTGTAGATTTTTCGCATTTTGGTTAAGCCCAAAAGGATGAATGCTCTTTTGCAAGGTTATCGGGTGCAAATTTCTGTTTGAAATTACTCAACGGATCATAACACATAGTGAGCGATTTGGAATGAAATGTAGGTCAACAACATCAGTTCCTATTGCAATTACCCAAATTATACAAAGAACAGGGAAATTTGCTAAGAAAGCACCCCTCACTCCTTGAAAATCAGTATCATTTCCAAGTATTATATGGTCATTAATTCAATAAACTCATCAAATCAATCAAGAAGAACCAAAGGGATAGTAAAGCACACAACGCTGCCATGGCTGAACAAAGAAATCCCATGTTCACTCATACAGACTCTAAGTTTCAGCCGTGCTACTTGTCACGTAGGGGGGTAAGTGCTGTCATGAGCTCCGAGATCCCTCAGCCAGCAGCCAATCGATAGTCCCTGCATCGTTTAACAAACCCTTCATTGTATTTTAATGACTAAACTTCGTGACACACACACGCACACACACAATCCAGGTAAACTGATTCCACACTACACGTCTTTTCCCTCTATAGCTTTGCGGTAGCTTAGCTACCCAGGGGAGCTATTCCAAATTAGGAAAACTTGCCTTAGAGATTACTGAGCATAAGTTAAGGCTTATTATTGTAGAAATCCGCTACAGGTTTTGCAGCTTTGAGTAAAATGGAGCTTTAAATTAAAATTAATAAAGCTCTACGATATGAACATTTATTATAATTTTTTAAATTTCGCAAATCTACATAGAAAGGCGGGAATCCTATTGCACAATTAAAAAAAAAGAATCAAAAAAGATTTTGTCAGAAAGCCTAACGCTATGTCAACTAGAAGAGGGTTTTTACATGAGGGTCAAATCACTGGAAAATGGAGAAGTATTGAATAGGCAGCTGAAGATTCGTGATTCGATACCCTTGAGAAGGGAACTGGCACCAATGCGGAAATATTCACGATTAACCCAGTCTGAACCAAGAAGACTGTTCACGAGGGCCGTAAATTCAAGCGCATCTCCCCATGTTTTCAACCCACCTGCTGGTTTGTAACCAACCTGGAATTAAAAATTCAAAATCTTTCAAGGTCAATTGCGAATATTAAAAAACGGCCATAATATACCGAACAGCCGTTAATTTCAAATTTTAACAAAACCAAACGGGATGAAACGAGTAGATAAAAATAAATCGATTCAGTTGTTAGTGTTCGGGCGAAAGTTGTGATTTGCATATCCATTATGGCTACAATCTACTATAACAAGTTTAAGCTAGGTAAAAGAACATTTGGTGTTTCGATACTCGGTTCAGAAATAGTGCCTTCGAAGTACTCACCAAACTTAGGACTAGTAGTTCACATAAGAAAGGTACAACTGCTTGTTAAATGATGAATAAATTCACCAACATAACACAGAAACAGAAATTTGGCGAATTCGATAGATGGCCAATAGGTCACTGAAAAAGACCACAGGAATTTATTCATTTTTACAAATGGTCGATTGCGAAAGAATCACAAAATAGTTGCATTGAATCGCTGCAATTATTGATACAATATTGCTAACAGTCTATATTTTTACGCACATGCACTTTCAAAGTTGCTAACGAATTACCCTTGGGGAGAAAGGTTAACACAAATAGCTCAGAATTCAAAAGGAAAGAGCTTTAAAGTAGAAAAATAAAAGCTAGAGAACGCTACAAAAGTAAAGATATAAGAAAAGTGACTTACTTTTATACCATAAGCATTTTGGAAGTCAGCAATGGCCCGACACATCACAACACTAACAGGAAGAGTAGCGTTAACAGTACTTTCTTTTCCGGTCGAGGTTTTAATGAAATCAGCACCGGCTAGCATGCAAGTCATTGATGCTGCATAGACATTTGAATAGGAGCCTAATTCACCGACAGCAAGAATAGTCTTCAAGTGGGCTCTTTGGCCACAAGCTTCACGCATAGCACAAACCTCTTCGTACATGTCCCTCCATCTTCCTTCAAGAGCTAACGTGCGGTTGATCACAATATCGATTTCAGTAGCACCGCTATCAATGGCATATTGAATTTCCTCTAGCCTTGACTTGAGAGAATATTGACCAGATGGAAAACCAGTAGCAACAGCAGCTATTGGCATTTCTGACATTCCGATTTTTTCGAGGTATTCGTGTGCAGTTTTTACCTGATATGGATACACACAGACCGCAGCAGTTCCTACAAATTTTGAGCAATGGAGGGAAGCCAAAAACTTACGAACTTCTTCTGGCGTAACCCCGTAACGTTTATTTAACCTTTCCAAAATGGGAGCACTGAGAGGACGCTTGGCCTTAGCACAAAGTCTATGTACATTAGCAGAGGTATCATCACCAGCTAAAGTTGTGAGATCAATGAATCCAACTGTCCTTAAAAGCCATTGAATCTATAAATAAATTGAGTTTATTTAAGAATAAATATACCTCAGGGTCGCCTTCAAGTCGAATACTGCTGAGATCTTTTGCAAGAACATTGATACTTGATGCATCAATGCAGTTAGAATGAATAAGATCCTGATCTAAATATCAACTATCAAAAATTTATTTCATTATACCAAAAGCAGAAATTGTGTTTGACTTCATTGCTACACGATAATGTCAATAAAAGTCGATAATCAAACACACGCCTAAATGTGATCTGATTATGCAGCCATTTAAAACAGTATCAAAGGCAAGCTATTAAAAATAAAAAACTTTTTGGTAGTATTAAATGATTTAACTTAAAATTTTAGATATTTTTAACTCCTGAGATCTCCTAACAATTATCAGTGTGGTATGTAACAATTATGTCTAAAATCTTATAAAAGTGCAATAAATAGATTTGCGCCATGCCTAAGAGCCCCAAACACTACTAATTTTCGTTTAAAATTTATGCTATAATCAGAAATCCGCATAAATTATTAAAAAGGAATCAAAAGTATATATGTGCTTTGCACTAATATTTATTTATTTATATCATATGGCAGGCGTCTTGATGTTTATCATTAGCCCTTTAGTTCACTTCAGACTTTACAGAGGAGAAGGAACATCAAATTGAAAAAAGACGAGAGAAGAGGAACAGAAGGGCGTTTCAAAGATGTAAGAGACAAACACAAAGGTAGAACAAAGGTAAGAAGAGTACTGTTGAAATAGTCGATATGGCATAGAGTGAGGTGGTGGTAGTTTGAAGTGAGAAGTCAATTGCCAGTTAATAGACTTTTTTGCCGTATGAATATACGTTGCCCAGGGTGTACCACGTGGAGTTAAGTCTATTGCACACCCATACTTTGTACTAATAAAAAACCTATTAAACTGCGCGCATCAGCCAGTAAAATTATTTTGAGTGAATGCAGAACTTAATCTTCGTTTACAAGACGAATTAAAGATAGGAAACTTTTGATAATACAACATATGATTCCGAACTCAGTGGTAAAGCGCATTCGTCGTTTAAAATGGCCTAAGAGGTCGGCTGAGAAATATTACTAAAATGACTTAATTTGAATTATTAAGATTTTTAAGTGTGA